ACTTCAAGGGGTTAATTTCGTTGTTATATGAATCTCATTACTTGATTAAAAAAATCGCACTGTGCAAATAGCCTTGCGAATTGAGCAACTACTACATGGCTGACTAAAAGCTTCATCTACTGACAAACATAGATTACTGCTACTGACACTTATGACACGTAATTAATCGCTAAAAGTTTGTTGACATTAATGCGCTTGGCAGACCTTCAGTATCTGGTATTTACGACCCAAGAACTAGTGGCACTTACATCATTTTAGAACTAGTCCAACATGATCTTATGTGCCAACAACTGTCTCAAAATCATAGAGCAATATCACTATGATCACTCGAATCTATCAAGTTAGTCTATGAGAGTCTGCAAAACGCATTCTTGTCATTCGCCGAAACAACGCTAAGTGACGTCTCATAAAATTCCGCGAAAGGTAACATGGATACAAAGAGAAAAGTTTCAATAAGCGAACATTGAAAATTTTATGGGCTCTCACTTAGGACTGATCCGTCGTGTGTCGCGTTCCCATCAAGCATGGAAGCTTAATGCCCGTTTTCACCATAAATTCCTAATTTTTAAGTGACCCTTACGGTAACACACAACAGGAATTTTGTTTTAATAGGGATCAATTAAAAATTAAGAATCGGTGGTAAAAACGGGCTTAGGATGGCGCTTATTGCGATAGCAAACGTAGAAACGTGCACGCAAATTCTGCATAAAAGACGAACTCTCCGTGACACAAGTCCCTTTTTTAGTCGCAGAAGTACTCAACCCTACTTGCAAGACGGAGACACGACTTATGGAATGCAATGTATTCTAATTCCGTGATTATGATGATTGTTTGTCATCTACAGTTGACGCTAGCTAGCCATACCCTGCACGTCATTACACTCGAAAAATTCGGTTTCAAAAACCTGTTACATTCCGGTAATATTAGCTTGCTGAAAGCTAAATTATACAGATAGTGGTTACATTATTTAATACCTAGGATTAAAGCTAATCGCACATTGGACCCAATAGGATATGCGAAACATAACAACATGTTATGTCTAATTTTTAAAGCTCCAATGAACGAATGGCTTAAAATTACAAAATAGTTTGTTCTTAGAATAGATTAACGTTAAAGATTAAACTGTACGAAATATATGGTCCGTTAACCATTGAATTTCCTTACAATCACATGTCTACTTTAAATGGTCTTTTTCCAGTATTAACTAGTGTACTTAATTATAAAACATTTATAAAAAGATCAATTTGCTACTTTATAGCAGGCGATAGTGGAAATAGGTAACGGAATAAACCCTCGAGTTTGAAATGTGTCACTCAACCATAGACTAAGAACAGCTGAGTAAAGTTATTACTGACTCAAAATAATATGACGCCCGTATTCACAAACATTACTATGAGGTCTCACGGTGCACGTGGACACGCAGGGTGACGCACGAACCAATCACATAGCTCTATTCAACGCTGTGCGTTCGATTTGCTGCTTCACTTAAGCAAGCATCGATTGTGAATACGGGCAATACGGGCATGAGTCTATTCGACAAAGCGCGTTTTTTGAGGAACACACTAACCACTTAAGACACCAATTAATTCGTATGTACAGTCAGCGTCAAATACTTAGTGACATTCATCATCATGTCAATTCGTGACACCCAAAGTAGCCAAAAAGTTAAAAATACTACACTACTAATTGTAACAAAGACGTGTTGCGAACTATTTGACGCTGCTGTACAATCAGGGACAAAAGTGAATTTATCAAATACCCAAATCATAGTCAAAAGAACACAATAAAAAAACTATTAGCATTTCAAAAACTCTATAACAATTATTGCATGAATTAAAAAATAAAATTCATCCATACTAGAAAAATATAAAATTACCCCGGTAGTTACATTTCGAAAGGCATATTTTACATGATGTCCTTAACTAAAAAACAGTAAATATATCTTTCTTTTCTCATGAAATGATACGAGACAAGATTTTAAATAAGTATCTCATTACATGCATAGAGAGGAAGAAGGTCGAGTGCCTCTTAACTTGAGCATAGATTTCTAACCCGTTATTGGTTGAATTTAAATAGAACCTATTACAGGCTTGTATCTTTTCTCAAGTTTGAAAGCAGTATCGTTTCATGATCTTTAGAAGTCATAATTTGCTGTGGGTAAATTTATTTGATCTCAAATAGGTAATTTATGTAGGTATGTGTATACTCAAGACACCTTCGTTTGAAAGCTACTGCTTTCAATAAGTGATACTTCATCTTTTTTCATTTACTGACAAGAAAAGAAAAAATTACAATGAATTTTAGTTTTAGAATTAGTNAATTAGTTAAAAAATTCGGAATAGTTTCGGTCCATTGCTTATAAAAAATAGTAATTTCAGAAAACATTCTAAAACAAAATGGTGTATTATTTACATCACAAGTCCCTGTAAAACATTTACACATTATAATTTTGTACTTTTAACCAAGGTAGATAAATGTTTCGTTAATTTCATGTGTACAGTGCGCCAAATAGTTCGTGACAGTCAAAGTTACCAAAAAGTTGATAGCACAACCTTATTCCAATTGTAACAAAGACATGTTACGAACTTGTTAGCTACTTGGGTGTCACGAAGTATTTGAGGCTGACTGTACATAATAAAGCGGACAAGCGGACACAGCCATGTTATTATTGCGAGAGTATATTAATAATAATTAATATTTACACAGATAAAACACAGGGTGTGTGATGGCAGTACTATTTTTTTTAAGTGATGATAAACTAATATTTTTGTTACATACATTTGGTAGGTAGTAATAAAGGTAAAATTCAATAAAAAGGATTGTTATCATTACGAAAGTCCCACAGTAAGATCTTCTGTGATATAGTAACATAAAAGACTAGATTAATTTTGATTAGAAATCAGGATTAAATGGCCATAATGTACCCTGTAAATAATCCGAATGATTGATTTAAATACCTTATAGTAAATTATGGTTTAATTGACACGTAATAAACACGTTGCCGTCGAATGAAGGAAAGGTTTAAAAATGCTAGAAGTTTTCCAAATGAGGGAATTCTCCAATCTTTTGTTTTGTTGTATTTAAGAATAAGTTAATAATTTGCCTTGTTGTTACCACCGTTAAAGTTTAGTATTATAAAAAAATGTATTATCTCTAAAAATATTAAGAGGATAGTTTTTTTTACTTGTTCAGGTACACTCGCATTGTAACGCAAGAAACGTAACGGGTTTTCCGAACGTACGTATTTGTATCTCATACAAACATCACAAACGATTGTGATACGCTTCACATGTAACTTAGTAAAATGAACAAATGGATTTCCGTTTTTTTTAGTCAGTCACATTATACAACACTATTTTTTACAAAAATTTAATGGTTTCATAAAAAAAACATTCATTCACCAAAAACAAAAAGCCAATCTCCAAAATATGATTACCCTCCCATACAAACTTCGATAGTCAACTGTCAACTTACTATGTATGAGAAGGCAATAGGGTATTAGCCATCACCAATCAATTGACGTTCTTTTTAAAACTGTCAAAACGAGACTCTCCCATAGATTTTGTATGGCAAGCCAGTGACGTCACTATTTTGTCAACTCAATGGGGATGTTGCCTGGGTCAAAAAGCAAGAGTTTTAATTAGTCCGTCAGTTAACTTATCAAAAAATACTCTACACGTATTTTTCACTTTTTCAAACTAATGAAAATTTAAAGAGATAAAGCGCCCCAAAGTTCATAAGAAGAGGCCCGTGACGTCAACGCTTGCTTAAAAATGCCGCACGTTGTGACGTCGTGCGCAACTTCAACGCACCATAACTATGTAATTATTTGTTAGATTGACAAATAAAAATATATGTGTCCAATATTTTTTGATATTAAACATTACGGACTAAAAAAAATTTTTTAGGCAACTAGCCTATTATACTACTTTTTTCAATTACAATGCAACCAAAAATTTTAATTTACAGGTAATTTAAAGTTAATAATTTTTTTAATACCAGAATGCGCCTTATTAATTAAAATAGTTGTGCTTTAGAATTATTATTGGGAAGTGGTAGAAAATACCTAATTCTTTTTACGATTGTCCTTTGTCTTTGGTGAATATTTGTTTGTTAAAACAAATAAAAAATAATGGTAGTAAAAAAATATAGTAGTTAAAAAATATGGTGGAGTAGAGAGAGAAAATGATGTTGTATAGAGCTATAGAGTAGAGAGTAGATACAATGTTAGTTTGAAAGATGTCTATTACGAATAAAAATGTCTGAAAAAGTAAGGCGGAACGTAATTGTACTTAACTCAAAGTGAGGTTAATTATTTGTTTTAATTTGTCTGATATTTGACCTTATTTGCTATCTTACTGAGTATGTTTTTGGCCATTCAATTTACTACAAAATAAATAAAAATGTTAGGCATTAAAACCTTATTTACAACTTAGGTATGACGATTATTTTCGAATAAGATATGAACAATGGCAAAAACGCTTAAAAATCTGTTAAAACAGATTAAATAACACTTAAACATTTTATTGTCTTTTTAATTTAATTGCTTTTTACGTTTTAATTACAAAAGTGAAAAATTTGACTCAACGAGTTAAAAGGTTGTATCGCACTTTTAGAAAAATATTTTTTCCGATATAGGTTTGTATTAATTTTGAAATATCACGTATTAAATTAGACGAATTAAATGGTAGGAGATTGATTTGTATAAATGGGGACGGCCGATATTTCTTTTGTATTTTAACACCAAATAAAGAATTCATCCATACAAAACTAAGTCTTATTTCTGAATAACTATAGAAATATTGCTCGCGAAGTGTAATGTACTTACAGGACAAAAGGGTAGTAGGTAGAATATGTACCAATGTAAAGCTTTTTTGAGCAATACTTTTGAACCGGGTTTATATTACAATAAATATTTAACAACAAAACTACCAAAACACAATTTCATTGCGCTGAGGCTCTATTTGGTTTGTGATTCACAATTTTTTTGTTATTTATACTAACGAACTTAATAACAAACTAATTATTACGTATAAATGCACTGATTCCGACTTACCAGTAATCGGATAGAATTTAAAACCATAAGGTTTTGGACGTTACAACCAAAATATAACAAAATTATTGTAAATACGTTTTAGAGTAACTATTTTTCCGAAAAAGTCCCTATAAACAAAATTATTTATGACAAGTAATGTCTAATCACATGTTAAGTTTTGGCTACGTGGGTTACCCTCATTAAAGCGATTATTTACAGCAGATATCTCTACAATAATACAGTAAAATATTAATACTATTTTTAGAATATATCTGGACTTAGCTTAAACTCACAAACAATTGGAAATTGCAACAACTGTCTCGCTCTTCACAAAGGCCGAAGATGAGAATTAAAGCTAGCTGCTATAATTTCCAATTTTTTGATCTATAATGTCATAATGTCTTATGTACTAGAAATATCAAAATTAAGACAAAATTTGCCATAATATAATGTAAATCGGCAGTAGGCCGAAAATGCGTCTTAACGCTTCATTGTATTACATCTTAGTCGAAGTATTTCACTCTGAAGTCCATTTTACGTATACTAGTTCACACTCAAAACTTGAAATCTTCAATAATTTCAAGCGCATACTTGATAGAATGTTAGAAGCTGTTCGTACTACAAGTTTAACTTATACTGTGGTTATAAGTATACAATACTAGTGTCATTTTATCATAATTATACTTTTAAAATAAATACTACAAATATCGCATTATCTCTTAAAAATTAATGTCTTTTACGACCGTCTTAAACTAATATTAAATGATATATGCGTTGATTCATAGCAATCACTGAATTAAAATTGAAAGGAATCTAGCAGAAGAATGCAACTTTCAACTAATTTAGTCGATATGAATCAATGCATACTTATTAGTTAAACCTATGCTATACACTTAAAATTAATTGATATAAGATATAATACTACTAACACATAAGAGTCAATTTATCAGATGCATACCAAGTCCACAAGAACATTGAGCGTATCAAGAGGGAAGGGAATCAAAATCTGACACATAATTGTCAGAATTAGATCCGATTTTCGAATCACCAAAAATGCAAACCACAACATTTTTAATACTGCTCAGTTATTATTATGTATTGAATTGTATCATTATACGAAAGGAAACTCCCTTTCTGATGTATATTTGTCTTTTTTATATAACTATTTATTTACTCTGGCTGATAACATAGGCTACACTTTCGAGACGTACACTCCCAACATTCACAACACTGCATATTATCACAACATTGTATATCATTGTATGGCCAGGACTGTGTGGCCTGTGGGTCTTCCTGCCCTGGCTGCCAAGGCAATGTCTGAATCTGTGGAGGGGATAGGAACGGTAAAGGTTGGGGATTTGGCGAGGGTATAGGAAGGGGCAGAATTGGTGGAGAGAACGGTGTAGGATTCTGAACAGGCTGTGGATATTGTGGAATAAATTGAGAGGGAGGGTACGGGAAAACGAGCGGATATGATAAGGGTTGACGAATCTGAGGAAGAGGCTGGTATGGCGGTGAAAAACGCTTATTTTGAGGTGAATGGGGCTCACGTGGAGGTGTAATTGGCCGAGAGTATGGCAAAGGGTGCGGATATGGTAAGGGTTGACGTACCTGAGGAAGGACCTGGTGTGACGGTGGAAAACGCTTATTTTGAGGTGAAAGGGGCTCATAAGGAGGTGTACTTGGCCGAGAGTATAGCAAAGAGTGCGGATATGGTAAGGGTTGACGAATCTGAGGTAGGGGGTGGTGTTGCGGTGAAAAACGCTTATTTTGAGGTGAAAGCGACTCATATGGAGGTGTATTTGGCCGAGAGTATGGCAAAGGGTGCGGATATGGTAAAGGTTGACGAACCTGAGGAAGGAGCTGGTATTGCGGTGAAAAACGCTTATTTTGGGGTGAAAGGGGCTCACGTGGAGGTGTGAGTGGAAGAGAATATGGCAAAGAGTGCGGATATGGTAAGGGTTGACGAACCTGAGGAAGGGGCTGATATTGCGGTGAAAAACGCTTATTTTGAGGTGAAAGGGGCTCATAAGGAGGTGTATTTGGCCGAGAGTATGGCAAAGGGTGCGGATATGGTAAGGGTTGACGAATCTGAGGAATGATTCATAGCAATCACTGAATTAAAATTGAAAGGAATCTAGCAGAAGAATGCAACTTTCAACTAATTTAGTCGATATGAATCAATGCATACTTATTAGTTAAACCTATGCTATACACTTAAAATTATTTGATATAAGATATAATACTACTAACACATAAGAGTCAATTTATCAGATGCATACCAAGTCCACAAGAACATTGAGCGTATCAAGAGGGAAGGGAATCAAAATCTGACACATAATTGTCAGAATTAGTCTGACGATCCAATTTTCGAATCACAAAAATGCAAACCACAACATCTTTAATACCGCTCAGTTATTATTATGTATTGAATTGCATCATTATATGAAAGGAAACTCCCTTTCTGATGGATATTTGTCTTTTTTACATAACTATTTATTTACTCTGGCTGATAACATAGGCTACACTTTCGAGACGTACACTCCCAACATTCACAACACTGCATATTATCACAACATTGTATATCATTGTATGGCCAGGACTGTGTGGCCTGTGGGTCTTCCTGCCCTGGCTGCCAAGGCAATGTCTGAATCTGTGGAGGGGATAGGAACGGTAAAGGTTGAGGATTTGGCGAGGGTATAGGAAGGGACAGAATTGGTGGAGAGAACGGTGTAGGATTCTGAACAGGCTGTGGATATTGTGGAATAAATTGAGAGGGAGGGTACGGGAAAACGTGCGGATATGATAAGGGTTGACGAATCTGAGAAAGAGGCTGGTATGGCGGTGGAAAACGCTTATTTTGAGGTGAATGGGGCTCACGTGGAGGTGTAATTGGCTGAGAGTATGGCAAAGGGTGCGGATATGGTAAGGGTTGACGTACCTGAGGAAGGACCTGGTGTGACGGTGGAAAACGCTTATTTTGAGGTGAAAGGGGCTCATAAGGAGGTGTACGTGGCCGAGAGTATAGCAAAGAGTGCGGATATGGTAAGGGTTGACGAATCTGAGATAGGGTCTGGGGTTGCGGTGAAAAACGCTTATTTTGGGGTGAATGGGGCTCACATGGAGGTGTGAGTGGACGGGAGTATGGCAAAGGGTGCGGATATGGTAAAGGTTGACGAACCTGAGGAAGGAGCTGGTATTGCGGTGAAAAACGCTTATTTTGGGGTGAAAGGGGCTCACGTGGAGGTGTGAGTGGAAGAGAATATGGCAAAGGGTGCGGATATGGTAAGGGTTGACGAACCTGAGGAAGGGGCTGATATTGCGGTGAAAAACGCTTATTTTGAGGTGAAAGGGGCTCATAAGGAGGTGTATTTGGCCGAGAGTATGGCAAAGGGTGCGGATACGGTAAAGGTTGACGAACCTGAGGAAGGAGCTGGTATTGCGGTGAAAAACGCTTATTTTGGGGTGAAAGGGGCTCACGTGGAGGTGTGAGTGGAAGAGAATATGGCAGAGGGTGCGGATATGGTAAGGGTTGACGAACCTGAGGAAGGGGCTGGTACTGCGGTGAAAAGCGCTTATTTTGAGGTGAAAGGGGCTCACGTGGAGGTGTAACTGGCCGAGAGTATGGCAAAGGGTGCGGATATGGTAAGGGTTGACGAACCTGAGGAAGGGGCTGATATTGCGGTGAAAAACGCTTATTTTGAGGTGAAAGGGGCTCATAAGGAGGTGTATTTGGCCGAGAGTATGGCAAAGGGTGCGGATATGGTAAAGGTTGACGAACCTGAGGAAGGAGCTGGTATTGCGGTGAAAAACGCTTATTTTGGGGTGAAAGGGGCTCACGTGGAGGTGTGAGTGGAAGAGAATATGGCAAAGAGTGCGGATATGGTAAGGGTTGACGAATCTGAGGAACGGGCTGGTATTGATGTGAAAGGGCAGCCCTTTTCACCTCAATATCAGTATATTGTGGTGGAGATTTTCTTGACGGCAAATTTTCTTGGTATGACAAGGGCTGTGCAAACTGTGGAGGTGGTGGAGAAAACGGAAAATTTTTATATGGCGAAGGTGGCGGAAAGGAAACGGGCTGATATCGACGAGGTTGGTTAAATTGCGGTGGGGAAAGGAACGGTAGAGGTGGCTGAAATTCCAAAGGAGGAGGGAAAGGTATATGCTGTGGAAATTGTGGCGGAGGCTCTGGAAATGGTGCTTGATGAAATGGCGGAGGTTCGTCAAATGTCGGATTTTGTTGATATTCTGGGGATTGCTGACATTGCAAACATTCCTGACAATCCGGATATTGTTCAAAATGTTTTGAATTAACAAATAAAGGACACTCATTCTCGCTTTTTAGGGGCAATGTACACTGCGGGACTTGCGGCAGCTGCAAATTCTGCAGCTGCTGCTGTGTCTGCAGCGGCTGCTGAAATTCAGGAGAATCATTCTCATTTTGCGTGGAATCCTGAATTATGGGCAATCTTTCACATAGCGGGGCTTGCACCAGCTGCAAATTTTGCAGCTGCGTCTGTGTCTGCAGTGGCTGCTGAAATTCAGGAGACTCATTCTCACTTTGCGAGGAATTCTCAATCAGGGTTTGGTTGTATTGCGGGGCTTGCACCAGCTGCAAATTCTGCAGCTGCTGCTGTGTCTGCAGCGGCTGTTGAAATTCAGAAGACTGATTCTCACTTTGCGAGGAATCCTCAATCAGGGTTTGGTTATATTGCGGGGCTTGCACCAGCTGCCAATTTTGCAGCTGCGTCTGTGTCTGCAGTGGCTGTTGAAATTCAGACTTATTCTCACTTTGTGGAGCTTGCAGCAGCTGCAGAATTTGCAGCTGTTGGTAAATTTCCAGCTTTAACAGTATTTTCAGCGGCTGCTGTATATGCAACGGCTGAAACTGCAGCGACTGCCTTGATAGCGGTACGTACTCAAACTCTATTAATACTATAGATTTTACTCTTGAAAGAGACGTTATTCTAAACGCCAGCTGACGTCGTGGCATTTGCATCAATGGCCATCGCGGAGATTGAGGAATTTCCGCAGCCTGTGTTGTTAGTTCATAACATGCAGATGTTTGTGGTGTTTGTCGTGATTCTAATTCACGTGATCCTTGTGATACGTCTATTACATTTTGTTCTTGTTGAGGTTCAGTGAAAAGGGGTACTTGCGGTTCTGCTCTCGCCCGTGGTGCTTGTGTTGCAAGTATTGCAACTGGTGTTAGAAACGGAGGGTAGAATACGAAGCACAGCCTGGGTTGTTGGCAATTGTCACATATTATTACGTAGACGCACCACAGTTGTAGAACCGAATACTAAGAAGGAAGCTGGTGCGTCAGCAAGGAATCGGAACGGACTCGGGTTGATAGAAGTCCGGGGTTGACCTCGTTGAAACTGAAAGACAAAATAGGTTGTTTGAGTAAAACTATTCACATTCTACTAAGATCCGATACAAAATAACGACATAACTAGATCCAATCTCAGTCATTAGTACGTCCTGTGCTTCACCAATCAAAAACTTACCTATATTTGAAATTGAATCAAGTTTTGGACCTTGTATTAATATCGATTTCTCCTGTTATTTATTATTATAACCTACACGTTTAAATAAAGTCCTGATTTAAACCAGCGTTGTGGACTTGTGACGCACCATTTACCTACTAAATACTGAGGTGGGACCTTGGTTGACCTTTGCACACTAACTCCCGTATGCACAAACATTACTATGAGGTCTCACAGTGCGCGTGGACGCACAGGGCGAAGCACGAACCAATCACAGAGCTCTATTCAACGCTGTGCGTTCGATTTGCTGCTTCACATAAGCAAGCATCGTTTGTGAATACGGGCGTTAGTTTTCAAAAATCTTCTTTTTTTCTGTATCCAAAATTTTTCATGTAAACTTATGAAATTGTATTAACATAATACGCACATAATAGTTAGCCAAATAAAAAATATGTTACAGATTTCGTTCAAGTTTCTAAAGTTATCTTACATAAGTCCCCGTACAGAGAGCCGCCGCTTGATTGTACAGGGAATGATACCGCATCCTGCTGGACCCCTCGGGCTGAGCTCTCAACGTTCAAATTTCTATAGTTATCTTACCAGTCTCCATTCAGATTTCTATAGTTATCTTACCTAAGTCCCCGTTCAGATTTCAATAGTCATCTTACCTGAGTCCCCGTTCAGAGAGCCGGCGCTTGATCGCAGGCTTGATCCGCGGTCCACCCGGGCTATGAGCGCCCCGCCCCGTCACGCAGTACAGAGTATGGTACCGCATCCTGCTGGACCACTCGGACTGAGCTTTCAACGTTTATGTTCCTGTAGTTATTTAACCTAGGTAGTCGTTCAGATTTCTAGTTATCTTACCTAAGTACCCGTTCAGAAAGCCGCCGCTTGATCCTCGGTTCGCCCGGGCTATGAGAGCCCCGTCCATTCACGCAGTACATGGTATGATACCGCATTCTGCTGGACCCTTCGGGCTGAGCTTTCTAAGTTCAAATTTCTATAGTTATCTTACCTAAGTCCCCGTTCAGATTTCAATAGTTATCTTACCTAAGTCCCCGTTCAGAGAGCCGCCGCTTGATCGCAGGCTTGATCCGCGGTCCACCCGGGCTATGAGCACCCCGTCCCGTCACGCAGTACAGACAGAGTATGGTACCGCATTCTGCTTGACCCCTCGGACTATGCTTTCAACGTTTATTTTCCTGTAGTTATCTAACCTAGGTACTCGTTCAGATTTCTATAGTTTTCTTACCTGAGTCCCCGTTCAGAGAGCCACCGCTTGATCCTCGGTTCGCCCGGGCTATGAGTGCCCCGTTCATTCACGCAGTACATGGTATGATACCGCATTCTGCTGGACTCTTCGGGCTGAGCTCTCAACGTTCAGGTTTCTACAGTTATTCTTACCTAAGTCCCCGTTCAGATTTCTATAGTTATCCTACCTAAGTCCCCGTTCAGATCAATAGTTATCTTACCTGAGTCCCCGTTCAGAGAGCCGCCGCTTGATCGCAGGCTTGATCCGCGGTCCACCCGGGCTATGAGCGCCCCGTCCCGTCACGCAGTACAGAGTGTGGTACCGCATCCTGTGGGAACCCTCGGGCTGAGCTCTCAAAGTCTGGATGTGCGTGTCTATGAACAGATCCAGGGATTCCTTGGCCTCACCCACTCGGAAGTAGTGGAGATCGATTGTGGCTGTGCTGGGGCAATTGGCAGCGTGTATCTGTGGACAGGATTTGAAAGGCTTGGATCATGGAGATGTTTCAGTTTCCTTTCAAAGTATAGAAATAGAATAGCCATTTTTATGGTACTAAGTTTGATGACGATTCAGTTCATGTGACGCTTTTGAAAGAAAGAAAAAAAAACATTTATAACGATGAACATCACTAAGTTAAGGACAAAGAAGGTATACGGAAAAAAAGACAAATGGCACATAAATATTACAAAGAAATAAAAAGTGAACTGAGGCACTGAGCAGTGCCACCCATGATGCCCATCGCAATGGAACCCCGCCCACTCAGCATATACCTTTGTTCTAAACCTACATTTAGCGCCATCTATAAGCAACTTTGTAAAGCGCCATCTATGGGATTCCAATCCAGTAAGCTAATTCCTAAAAAGAACCATAGATGGCGCTCCAAATGTCGTTGTGCTGCTTTCATCGATCGGTCGCACGGCCATTACTGTAAACTACTACGTGTAAATACAATACTTATCAACAACGTCTCCTGAGTTTTTCTCCAACAGCCTTACTTATAGTTTTGTAACTTTTACTTTACTTTTATGTGTATTTTTTTTCGGGTATGAAACAAAAATCCAGAATGAATTCTCTAATCTATCTATACCCTGGACTACAAAACCGGCTCTAATTGAATCCCACTAGCAGCCAAAATGTAATTCATTTAAGATTGGGTCATATCAGAGTAAATACAAATGAGTAGGTCATCTTCATAGAAACGCCCGAGCGCGGTTTGTATGTGAGCGCGCCAAAACGTATGCGGCGCGCACGCATGCACTGACAAAATTTAGCGTGGATATTAGCGGTGACGTGCGTTGAATTTTGATATTAGCAGTGACGTGCGTTGAATAAAAAGCTGGCCAAGTTCGGGTAGTTAACAAACCATCCATCCAACCAATCATAAGTGCCACTAATGGTTTAAATTGAATAAAATATTTTTGATTTTGATTTTTTGATTTTCATCGTCTGTTCTATGGTTTAGAAATATGCAACTATTGAGTATACATTACATGCTTACCTGCATAAGCGAACACGCTGCTAGACTGTTATTGTACTCAAACTTCTCCTTGTGAAATTCGGCTAAGGATCTGTAGTAGCCTGCGACGTCAAGCATACCACGGGATAGATACTGATTTGCTTTCTGGTGATTCCTGGAAATGCATAAGTTTCCATTTGTAGTCTTTGTTAAATCGGCCACAAACATTGTCAAGAATTGGTGAAGATGCACAAAAACTGTGAGGTCATTGGCAAATAATTGTGCTATTATTTTTAAACTTTGTGAAAATAATTAATATTACTTAAAATTTTGGCTTATTTTATAGGAAATACATATTACAATTTGTCTACTACACCAATGTTATTTTATTTTCAGACAAGCAAGTTCCAAAATTTTCATTGTTTTTGGTTAAAAAAAAGTTTCAAATAATGGGTTAACTGGCGAATGCTGCAGCCCTTTTGCTGCTAAATAAGTCACAGTAGATCACAATAATAGATTCTAACCCCCTTACTAATAAAAAGTTACACAGTTGTTGATCACTGTTTTAAAATGACATTTCCATACTAAACGTCACTTTAAAACACTGATCAACGAGCGTGTAAGTTTTATTAGTAAGGGGGTAAGGAATTTTGCAGCAGCTGTAAACAATTGGCTTCAAAATAACTCGAACTCCCAGATGTACACACGACATCACGTTAAAGTTAACGCATCTTATACAGTTGTACCTAACAGGCGTGATAGCGAAACAAAAATGTATAATCTGATGTGCTGTTGACTGCAGTTTGACTAGAGAACTGATCTAGAAGACAACTGGGCCCGATTACACTGACTTATAATGTCTTTAATTCATTCGTGTTTCATCTCCAGTCACACTCCAACTTCATTCCAGCCGATGTGTAATTCGGTAATCACGGTAAAGTTCACGCGTAAACAAAGACGAAACAACGAATTTATGCACTTTCCATTAAACGTCCGAACACATTATTTTTTAAACTAAAATTACTAAAACACAGCAAATGTTTGTGATGCATTTGAATTGCGTTTGAGAACAAGTTTCTTTCTGTCAGCCTTTACGCAAAGGTGCAGTTGCACTCCGTTTACGTTACAACTTCGTTTGCACTAGGTGTTGAAACGACGACACCGCGATACGGATTAGTGCAAACAGCTGAATTTCGTTCGTGTTCCAGTCGTGTTGCATTCGAAAATTTTTAGCGCAATCGGGACCCTGATCTAGAGAAGACAAACTGGACAGTTGACAAAACTTACTTGTTAAATAGAAAGACACTGGTCTTACGTACGTTTACGTACTGGTCCTATGTACGCGACATTTATGACTGAGTTATATTATGTACTTACTCACGGCTTGACGATTCGGCTGCTATGCTGCAGCCGTGGTCACAAGCAGAGTGGCGGCTCTTTGTATTTTTGGTGTCTTTCTATTTTAGTTTAAGGCCGGCAATACACGGTCTGCTGGCAGTCAGGGTCGACAGCTTCAAGCTGCGACTGCACAGTGAAATGCATAATTCTATGGACGCACATACACGAACCGCTCAAGCAGTTGCAACTGATTCGGGCGGTTTTGTTGAGCAGTTAATACCAACTGCTCGAGCAGTTATCGCTGGCAGCTTCAAGCTGTTGACTCTTGACTGCAAGAGCGGTCCGTGTATGTTGATCACTGACTAACTGCTCGAGCTGTCCGTGTATTGATGGCCTAAATGGAACGCGAACGTTTAAGATTTTATAGAACTTACTTGTTACGTAACTGCAAGTGGCGGTCGGCCTGGTCTCTGTAGGTTTCCAC